GGGGCTTAGGGCTTCAGGCTTTAGCGCTTTAGGGTGTAGGAGCTGAGGTCTTTTGAAGGGGTTTCACGCACTTCGTTCATATGGTCCGTAAGCTTAGGGTTTCAGGGTTTGATGGGTGTTTAGGGTCTCCAGGCAAGGCTCGGCGAGTTTTCGGGGTTGTAGAGCGACGCATGTATGTGGCTGCACTGGTTCTTGTCGCGATTTTCTGGGATTTCGGAGGGGGGGGGGGTTCTTAAAACCTGGACCCTACACCCTAAACGCAACTTTCCTAAACCGCGAAGAGCCAGTCTGAATGCGTTTGAATGCTTTGTTGCGTCTTCGTGCAAGTATGGGCCCAGCCTGCAGGGGCTCGGGGGCCTTTTGTGCGCAACTTGGCTTAGCACCGCTAAGAGATAAACTCTGCTTGTCAGCAACTGTGGGAGTAAGCGACCCAGACCCTAAACCCTAAACCCTAAACCCTAAACCCTAAACCGACCCTAAACCCTAAACCCTAAACCCTAAACCCCAAACCCTAATCCCTAAACCCTAAACCCCAACCCTAAACCCTAAGCCCTAAACCCTGGGACTACGGGCTTGAACACCCGAGCCTTAGCTACCCACGAACCTCCCAGCACGCCCGGCCCGTGTTGCTGCCGTGTCACCCACCCTCGGCAGGATTGCCTCAGCTCGTTAAGGACTAAACCCTAAACCCTAAACCCTAAACCCTAAACCCTAAACAGGTATAACCTAAACCCTAAACCCTAAACCCTAAACCCTACACCCTACACCCTACACCCTACACCCTACACCCTAAACCCTAAACCCTAAACCCTAAGACTAGGGTTGTAGGTGATCCAAGGCTTGTGGGGTTGACGGCTGTTGCAGTTTATGGGTCTTTTGCGTATGATGGGGTTTATCGAGTTTAGATGACTTGGAGGGGGTCCCAGCCTGCCTCCCTCTCTCGCGCTCATTCTCTCTTCTCTCTGGCTTCAAGCAGGGTTTAAGGTTTAGGGTTTAGGGTTTGCTCTCGCTCCCTCTCCACCTGTCTCTCTCTCTCTCTCGCCTGAGGCATCGACCCTTAATTCTCTAAGTAAACAGCCTAGTGGCCCAGGTCCTACCTAGAACAGCATCTACAAATCCGACGAAAGCCTCTAAATCCAATGCCCATAGAGCCTGGAGAAGCCCTGAGCCCACTGAATTAAGAGGTATAAGGAGGGACCTCTAGTAAGGCACCCGTAATCTTCTTCCCCTATCCCCTATATATATATATATATACCTTCTATCTAGTCCCTACATACATACCTAAGTAGCCCCTAAATAACCCCCAAATAACCCCTATAAGGTCCCTTATAAGGGTCCCTCCTTTGACTGAAGCGTCGCTCGACTTGAACCCCAAAAGCCCATCTAAAACGAGGGTTTAGGGTTTAGGGTTTAGGGTTTAGGGGTGTGGGGGAGCGCAAGTTAGCACCCATAAAGGTAGTTTACTTGATTTTAGGGCTTTGGGGCCTTAAGGGGTTTAGGGTTTAAGGTTTTTTAGATCATTCCAAGCCGCTGCTATCTAAAGCCAAAATCTCGAAAAGCCCAAGCCAGTGCTCAGAAGATGAGACCGGGTCACACTCGGCGATTATCTCCAAACGTCGCCGGTCGTAGTTCTCCCAGCTCGCCTTCAGGGCTTTCGGGGTAGGGTTTAGGGTTTAGGGTTCAGGGTTCAGGGTTCAGGGTTTAGGGTTTAGGGTTTAGGGTTTAGGGTTTAGGGTTTAGGGTTTAGGGTTTAGGGTTTAGGGTTTAGGGTTTAGGGTTTAGGGTTTAGGGTTTAGGGTTTGGGGTTTGGGGTTTGGGGTTTGGGGTTTAGGGTTGAGCGTTGCGGGGCTTATAGGGCTTATAGGGCTTCAGGACAGGGACTCGAGCTGTGCGACATGCGTGGTGTCTAGTAGAAGGGTAAGAGTTGAGCCCCAAATCCCGAAAACTCCTAAACCTCTCCCGACCCAAGAGTATCCTACAAATGTGACAGGGTGCCGCTTTTTGGCTTGCAGGGGCTTGAGGAGGGAACCTAAACCCTAAAAGGGAACCAGGGCCCACCCCGCGTCCGAGCGGCTAGCGTTGCCCTCAGAACCCGAGGCCCCAGGAGGTGAGGCAGAGGGGCTTACAGTAAAGGTTTAGGGTTTAGGGTTTAGGGTTTAGGGTTTAGGGTTTAGGGTTTAGGGTTTAGGGTTTAGGGTTTAGGGTTTAGGGTTTAGGGTTTAGGGTTCAGGGTTTAGGGTTTAGGGTTTAGGGTTTAGACCCCAACAGATGGAACATCCTTATCTCCCATGTCCCCAAAAGTATACTAAAGGGAATCCCATTTCAAACATCATCCTTGAATCATGTTCCAACTTTCTGGAGTTCTCTGTAGGCTTGTAAGGATGCCCAGTGGCACGCCGTTGTCTCTTTTGGCGATTTTTTTTTTTTTTTTTTTTGGGGGGGGGGTTGTAGGGTTTAGGGTTCAAAGTGTCGAGGGCTTATGGGGTTTAGGATTTAGGTCTAAGGTTCATAGGGTTGAGGGCTGATCGGGTTTAGGGTTTAAGGGCTACTCTCTCATATCAGCCCCCTTTTGTTTAGAGGATCGGGAGGACTTAGTAAGTTGTTAAGTCGGCCTACGAGGTAAGATGACCCCAAGCAGGGTCCCTCCTTGGCTACCTCAAACGATGGCAAGGACTGGACTAGGCTTTAGGGTTTAGGGTTTTAGGGTTTTAGGGTTTTAGGGTTTTAGGGTTTTAGGGTTTAGGGTTTAGGGTTTAGGGTTTAGGGTTTAGGGTTTAGGGTTTAGGGTTTAGGGTTTCGGGTTTCGGGTTTCGGGTTTCGGGTTTCGGGTTTCGGGTTTCGGGTTTCGGGTTTCGGGTTTAGGGTTTAGGGTTAGGGTTTGGGAGGGCTGACTGCGTAACCAGGGCCGAAACTGAATTTAAGGTGTTTAGGATTTAGTAGGGTAGGGCAAGGTCCAGAGTAGGCCCTAAGCCCCGCACCTGGTTTTGGATCTCGATGACTCTGCTCACCTCACTTGGCTGACTTCTGAACCCCTCCTAAAAGTTTAACTTTAAGACTCCTTTTTCTAGTTTCTACAAAAACACAAAAAGGTTTTGGACTCCTTTTTCTAGTTTCTACAAAAACCCAACAAAGGTTTTAGACTCCTTTTTGTAGTGTATACACAAACCCAACAAAGGTTAAAGTCCTGAGAGCCAGCCAGAAGAAAGCCAAGCTCAGATTTGCTTTTTAGTGTGAAGGGGTTTAGGGCGCACAGAGTTGACGTTGCAACCCTAAACCCTAAACCCTAAACCCTAAACCCTAAACCCTAAACCCTAAACCCTAAACCCTAAACCCTAAACCCTAAACCCTAAACCCTAAACTCAACCGGTACGTACGCCCCCCCGGAGTTTTGCTTAGGCTCCAGGGCCGCAGGGGCTGAGAGCTGGCCGCTTCGACCCTCTCAAGCTTCTTCTCCGACTCAACCAGGGAAACAACTAGGGAGCCGTGAACCATAAGCCCCTAAACCCTAGGTGTAGGGTTTAGGGTTTAGGGTTTAGGATTTAGGGTTTAGGGTTTAGGGTTTGGGTTTAGGGTTTAGGGTTTAGGGTTTAGGGTTTAGGGTTTAGGGTTTAGGGTTTAGGGTTTAGGGTTTAGGGTTTAGGGTTTAGGGTTTAGGGTTCAGGGTTCAGGGTTCAGGGTTTAGGGTTTAGGGTTTAGGGTTTTAGGGTTTTAGGGTTTTAGGGTTTTAGGGTTTTAGGGTTTTAGGGTTTTAGGGTTTTAGGGTTTTAGGGTTTTAGGGTTTAAGGGTTTAGGGTTTTGGGTTTAGGGTTTAGGGTTTAGGGTTTGGGGTCTCAACTCTACACCCGAAAAGTAACAAGAATTTTAGGGGAACCTGAACCCTAAACCTCCGGACAACCCCAATCTCAACCACCACTTTAAGTGTTTCGGGTTTTTGGTTGCTTGTATGAGATAACATGGGACCAAGAAATACGCTCCTAAACGCCAAAAGCCTCCCCTTCCGCAAGAAGTACCTGACCTGCCCTAAGCCCTAAACCCTCAAAGACCCCAAACCCCAAACCCCAATCCCCAAACCCCAAACCCCAAACCCCAAACCCTAAACCCTAAACCCTAAACGCTAAACCCTAAACCCCAAGCCCTAAACCCTAAACCCCTACCCAAAAGGAGACTTCTCTCCCCGAAACCTCGAAGTTGTCCGCGATCTTCGCCCCATCGCCGCGCGCGGCCCGGTCGCGTGTCCAGCGCTTCCTGGAGTTTAGGGTTTAGGGTTTAGGGTTTAGGGTTTAGGGTTTAGGGTTTAGGGAACTTGTGGGGCTTCGGGTTCAAGAGCTTGTGGGTGTTTCAAGGTGTTTCCTTTGTTTCGGGGTCTTTAGGGCTTAGGGGGTCTTAGGGTCCTGCCGGTATGGGGTTTTAGGGACATGGGGTTTTGGGCGTATGCGTAGGTGTGCTCGTCAAAAGCCTCAGCCATGGGTGCTTACAGGGCGTTCAAGAAGATAGGGCTTTGGGATCGTCATATAAATACACGTTATGCTTTTATAGTAGGGTTTAGGGTTTAGGGTTTAGGGTTTAGGGCTTGGTTTTGTACAGCCTCTCCGATAGCATGGAGTATGTACACTATCTAGGACTGCCCTTAAACGCCTCGAAAGAAATTCCAAAATGTGATCCTCTGAAATCCAAGAAGGCAAAACACAACACATGTAGGATAACTTATGGCTCGAGATTCCAGTCCTTTTTATGCGCGGAACGAGGAAGGCAATGAATCATTTCTTCGGTGGATCATGAGGGACAGCCAGTCTGTAAAAACCTGTAGGGCGCCCCCGGCACAATCCACTCACAAGTCTTCAAACACTGAATTCACAGGAGCCGAAACTATCACCACTGATTTGCTCTGCCTCTGTAAGTCTGCTATATGAAGAAGCGTTCTCTTCCACCCTAAACCCTAAGCCCTAAGCCCCCTAAACCAGAAATACCTATTGCATCTACGCTCCCTGTCATAACAGCCCTCAGGGTGGCGGCAGGTAGTACAAGCAAGTGAAGCCAGTGAGGGGCACCGAGGTTGCTACCTCCGTATGCCAGATCTCACAGCGTCCGCGGCTGTATTCCTATACTCCGCTTAGAACCTGAATGAAGATTATATTTTTTGTATCCTCTTGGGTTTCATATAAACAAAAGCAAAAAAAATTCCCAAGGGGGATATAGATTCAACCCCACGGCAAACACTACTCGCGACACAGCGCGCGCGGCAGTCTTCCATGTTCTGCGCCTGCTGCACCACGTAGTAGCTGTCAGAGTTTTTGCCACCCGCTGCACGGCATGCCTGATCAACTCCCCCATTCATGGGCTGCAGGTACCTCCCCGGCCAGCCGAAGCGCAAGCAAGTGAAGCCAGGCCAGGGGGGCTCGGAGAATGCCCAAATGCCCTCGGGGCGTGTCCAAACCTCACATCGGCCACTGTTCACATTGAACTCCACGCCTTTGCACCCAGTGAGGCCCTTCCCCTGCACACATAACCTTACTTCTCCAATAACCAAGGGGAAAAAAGGTTAAACTTCATTATTCCTACTAAATAAGGGAACCCAAAAAGTTTAAAGTTCAGCTGTTGGAGAAGTAAGTAACTCCTGACAGGCTTCCAAGCTGTTGATGTTGAGATGCAGGTCGTAGTAGTCAGGGCTGTTGTCTCCGTGGCCATCTCCACGGCAGGCGCGGTTGAAGGGGCCCGCAAACAACTCCCACTCCCGCCCGGGCGAGCCTGAGCCAGAGGAAGTTGTGGAAGTTGTCGGAGGTGGGCTTGTGGAAGTTGTCGAAGTTGTGGAAGTTGTCGGCGGCGGGCTTGTGGAAGTTGTGGAAGTTGTCGGAGGTGGGCTTGTGGAAGTTGTCGAAGTTGTGGAAGTTGTCGGCGGCGGGCTTGTGGAAGTTGTGGAAGTTGTCGGAGGTGGGCTTGTGGAAGTTGTCGAAGTTGTGGAAGTTGTCGGTGGCGGACTTGTGGAAGTCGTGGAAGTTGTCGGCGGTGGGCTTGTGGAAGTTGTCGAAGTTGTGGAAGTTGTCGGTGGCGGACTTGTGGAAGTCGTGGAAGTTGTCGGCGGTGGGCTTGTGGAAGTTGTCGAAGTTGTGGAAGTTGTCGGTGGTGGACTTGTCGAAGTTGTCGAAGTCGTCGAAATTGTGGAAGTTGTGGAGCTAGTCGGCGGTGGGCTTGTGGAAGATGTGGAAGTGGTGGTCATCTCAGGCACACATGTCTGGCACACATATTTGGTTCCATACATATCCTTAGCTTTGGAGTAGACCCCGAAAAAAAGGCATATACTTTTTAGGTATAAGTAGCTAGAATAGGAACCCAGAAGCAAAAAAAGTATTAAAGCATAGTACTCCAAGACCCAGTATCAAGCTGCCAGTCCAGGCTCCCGGGAAGAGGACACGCTAAGGGTACCGTCCTTAAGGACCAAATGAACCTTAAAAGGGTTTATGGTTCATATACCTTAACAGGGATTATAGTAGAGGGCAAATGAACCTCAAAAGGGTTTATGGTTCATATACCTTAACAGGGATTATAGTAGTAGAGGGTATAGGGGATGAAATTTACGGGGGACCCTTGAGGATACAGACCCTCTGAATAAGGTCCCTGCAAAAAAAGAGCCAGAAGAGGGTTCAGAAGGGGTTCCCTTTTAAGGGTCCCCCTTATCCTACCTAGGATCCTCGCTGTACAGCGTCTCGTCGTTGTTCTGTCCAATGCCCTCCGTGGGGTTCTGGTCCTGGGTAGCCCAGCAACCGCATTCTGACAAGGGCACCCCTTTTTTTGGGCCAGTTACTTTATAAGGGAACCTTGAACCAAAAATAGGGTAAAGGGGTACCACTGGGGTACCAAGGGTCTTCTGCCATCGCGCAAACCTCCCGCGGCTCCGAGAGGACAAAGCCTGCTGGGCACTCGAGCGGTGTGGCGCACTCGTTGCCCGAGCAGCTGGTGGGGCTGACAATCGTGGGAAGAGTATCGAAGCTCTGCTGGCAGGTGGCACAGTCATACTGACGGAGACTGGGGTGGTTGCTGTTCAGGGCCCAGGTGGGGCCCACGAGCGAGCTGCACTGATCGGTTCGATGAGGATATGGACTGACAAAGCGCAAGTTGAGGTGGTACCCGTCAGGGCAAACATAGACGCAACCGGAATTTGTCTCACTGCGAATGCAATGCGTCCTTGCGGGAAGCACCAACGTCCCAATCCCAACTGCCTTGTCGGATTCCGCCCTGTACCTTAACTGAACTTGGAACCCTAACAAAAATCACATTCTTCTGCTGTTTTTTAAGGCATCATAGTACCCAAAAACTAAGAACTATTCCCAAGTATCCCTAAGGTACTTCTTAGAAAGTATAGTACCCCCCCCCAAAGATTAAGACAACAGATTCCCAAAGTATCCCTACAAGGTACTGCAACCCTACGGTACTTCAAAGAAAGTATAGTACCCCAAAAATGAAGAACAATATTCCCACGTGTCCCTACAAGGTACTGCAACATGACATTGCCCCCGTTGCAGCTGGAAGCCTTGCAGCTCCCCGTCTTCCCGGCAGGTGCCATGACGAGGGGCAGCAGCAAACACATGAGCCAGGCCATGACCCTAAACCCTAAACCCTAAACCCTAAACCCTAAACCCTAAACCCTAAACCCTAAACCCTAAACCCTCCAAGCTCTCCCAGCTTTGTACCGGGAGTCCGGGAGCAGTTCTCGGATGCGGCTGCAAGCAGAGAACCCTGGAGGAATGTAAAAACCCGAGGATGGTTTAGGGTTTAGGGTTTAGGGTTTAGGTTTTAGGGTTTTAGGGTTTAGGGTTTAGGGTTTAGGGTGGAGCACAACGCCACTCAGACCACGCCCTATAGCAACTCCCTCACTCTACGGTGCCATTCATTTGGGCCCCTTGTGATATGACTCTCATATCTAGACCCAGAAGTAACCTACGAAAAAAAAAAAAAAGGCACGCCTTTTCAGGCCTCAAGGGGATGAGTAGGGAGCCCACCCTTCGAAGCCCTAAACCCTAAACCCTAAACCCTAAACCCTAAATCCTAAACCCTAAGCCCTAAACCCTAAACCCTAAACCCTAAACCATCCATGTGCCCTCAAGTGGCTGATGCGTGGAGGTCATCAAGGACTGGAAGAGCGCCAGTGCCGATCCATTCGTCACGGGCGCTTTCCTGGCGGGCGCGGCGAAGGGGGCGGCGGGGCTTCTGCGGTGAAGGGCTCCCGACACCTCGCGAGGGCCTAAACCCTAAACCCTAAACCCTAAACCCTAAACCCTAAACCCTAAACCCTAAACCCTAAACCCTAAACCCTAAACCCTAAACCCTAAACCCTAAACCCTAAACCCTTGCCCTACGTTCCCAAAGCAAGGGTTCGGGGAGCAGGTCCATCAGAAGAGCGCCCGGGGGATTCTACTACAGGCCATTGCTTTGCTCCTTCAACCCTCGACCCTAGCTCGCCTCTACAACGGCTTCAGCACCATGAGCGCTAAACCCTAAACCCTAAACCCTAAACCCCAAACCCCAAACCCCAAACCCCAAACCCCAAACCCCAAACCCCAAACCCCAAACCCCAAACCCCAAACCCTAAACCCTAAACCCTAAACCCTAAACCCTAAACCCTAAACCCTAAACCCTCAACCTTAGGGTTTTTCATACGGCTCCATGTACCTAGTTATTACATACTTGTGCCCAAAGTCCCTATATAGCAAGTAACCTATTTAGGTACATGGACCCTTAGGGTTGCAGGCTTCGGGGCTTTGCGGGTTTAGGGTTTAGGGTTTCCCTCGAACCTCCACCCTAAACAGCCTCTCAACGAAGCAAAACCTACAAACCCTCATACAGCGAAGCCCCTGCAACCGTCGGATTCGCCCTTAGCCCTTCCACTCAAAATTTCGTTCGAACTCTCTACTCCCTAACGCCCGCCCCCTCTATAACAGCAGCCCTGGACCCCACACCCGCCTGAAGAGCTTCTCTGTGCCCAACAAGTCTTCCAGATTCCATCCTCCACCAGGATTTTCGAGGTTCGGGACTGTTGCAATCTACCCCTAAAGTCGCTCAAGCCCTACACCCCTACACCCCTAAACCCCAAAAACCCTGAACTCCTGAACCCTACACCCCAAAACCCTAGACCCTACAGCCTTTTCGAAATCTGCCCTGTCAGGCCTGGCAAGGCACAGCTTCTCAAAAGCTTCTAGAGTTTTGCGTGTAAGGCTTTCAGGCGTATGGAGCGTATAAGTCTTAATCTGGGCTGCACTTAGGAGGGTAGTGAAACATGAAACTTGTAGCTGCCTTCTTAAGAAACATAGTAAACCCAAAAAGGCTAAGAATCTAAAGAAAGTAATCAGGCCCAAGACTAGGTCCTAGGTTGCCGTTGAACATCCCGTAACCGGATAACCGAGTAGTGGAAACTCGGACCTTTACAAGAGATCTATGTTTTGGCAACGACGTTTTCTAGCTCCGGCTAAATTAAACCAGCATTGCTCCCGACCACCCACGTTCCACCCCATAGTCTCTTCTTCCCAAAGCATGCTTAGAAGTTCCTGTGCAGTTATAAGTGGAATTGCTCGCACGTTTCCCATATAACTACCTCTCACTTCGAAGTCTAACCTGGCTTGGGGTAACCCTTAACCCTAAACCCTAAACCCTAAACCCTAAACCCTAAACCCTAAACCCTAAACCCTAAACCCTAAACCCTAAACCCTAAACCCTAAACCCTAAACCCTAAACCCTAAACCCTAACCCTAAACCCTAAACCCTAAATGATAACTACTGCAGGCTCCTGGTCTGAGGATGGGGTGGAGTCTCACGGGTGGCTGTAAGTAGGGTAGCAATCCTAAACCCTAAACCCTAAACCCTAAACCCTAAACCCTAAACCCTAAAACCTAGACCCTGCAGGCCCCAGAACTCACCCGGGCCTGGCGGCATGTGGGCCTTCTCTTTGAGAATCTCCAGGGCATGTGTGAACTCCTGCGCAGGTAGGCTTTAGGGTTTGGGGTCTAGGGTTTAGGGTTTAATTGGGGGTTTAGGGGTTGAGGGCTTAAGGCTTCTTAGGGTCCGCCGACCCTGGCGGCGTGTTGGATGGGAAAAGGAGGTGAAAACCTTGGGGGGGGGGGGGGGGGGGGCAGCTTTTCCACGGAGGGCCAGGCCACCCACACCGCATAAACTCACGGACCATAGGCGGTTTCGCACAGGACATAGGGGCCCTTTGGGAAAAAACACCCTCCCCCCCCCCCCCCCCCCCCCCCCCCCCCCCCCCCCACCCCCAACCCCCCCCCCCCCCCCCCCCCCCCCCCCCCCACCCCCCCCCCCCCCCCCCCCACCCCCCACCTACCCCCCTACCCCTACCCCCCTACCCCCTACCCCCCCCACCAACTTTGACATAACGAACGCGTTTAAACGTTTCAACTATGCTCCAGCGGGGTCGGCGGCTTGAGGTTCTAGGCCTTGATTGGTTTGGAGCTTAGGTTTGTTTAGGTGTCTAGACTTACATAGAAGCTAGGGCAGGCAGGGTTTCGGGTTGAGGGGTTAGGGTTTTTATTGTGGACTTGGGGTGGATAGGGACTAGGGGTTCATGGTTCAGGGTGCCCTGAGCCCCAAGACTCAAACCCATAAGCCCTGTTTAGGGTTTAGGGTTTAGGGTTTAGGGTTTAGGGTTTAGGGAATGCATAAAGAACCTAAACCCGACCAAGGTTATTGCGTGGGTGGGCGCGTCGGAAGTGGGCAACGTGAACCTCGGCGCGCACCACGCCTCACGTCTCGCATGGCGGTGTGCGGGGAGCATGTGACAAACACCCGAAACCCTAAACCACAAAACCCTAAAACCCTAAACCCAATCCCAAAACCCCAAAACCCCCAAAAAAAACCCAAAAAACCCAAAAAAACCCAAACCCTAAACCCTAAGCTCTAAGCCCCCCAACTCTAAGCCCGAAAAAGGAGCCCTGTCCTGGCAAAGCTCGGCGTGGCTCTTCAGGTCTGGCACGGTCTTTGCCTTGATCACCTTGGCTTCCGTAGGAGCTACGGGGTTGCAAGGTTTAGGGTTTAGGGTTTAGGGTTTAGGGTTTAGGGTTTAGGGTTTAGGGTTTAGGGTTTAGGGTTTAGGGTTTAGGGTTTAGGTCCGAGTAACCTAGAAATAAAAAGGGTGCGCTTTTTGGTTTAAAGGGGGTTATAAGGGAGCCTAAACCCTAAAAAAGGAACTGTGGGCCTACTCCGGGTCCTAGGGGGAGATTGGTTTAGGGCTTAGGTAGGGTTTTGCGGGTTTAAGGCTTAAAGGGCACTGGATGACCAGCTCGTTTTTGTTGTGGCTCCTGATTGCATAATGATTCTCGACCCTCATCCCTAAAGCAGGTACGAAGTCCCATGACCTTCAGCCTCCAGTCAACCCTGAAAACGGAAACCCATTAAAAAAAAAAACCCTCAAAGCCCTAAACCCTAAACCCTAAACCCTAAACCCTAAACCCTAAACCCTAAACCCTAAATCAATAATAACCCATAATAACCCTAAACGCCCTAAGCACCTAACACTAGATCCAGGACTCACCGAGGGACTCTACAGGGCACCTTTCTCTGTGTTAAGGGCTTTGCTCATCGCAAAACCGCATCGTACAGCCCTAATTCAAAGAAAGGCTGTGCAGGCCCTCAGAGAACCCTACTAAGTAGGGTAAGTTGGGGGCTTAGGGTTTAGGGTTTAGGGTTTAGGGTTTAGGGTTTAGGGTTTGGGGATAGTTGGGTAAGTAGGGTGATAAGTAGGGCAAGCACAGCTGCACTCTGGTTATAACAGTATTTTGGGGTACTTCTAACACTGCTAATAATAACGACCCATGAACCTCCCAAAGCCCTGAGCCCTAAGCCCTCGAGGGTTTAGGGTTTAGGGCTAGCCCTAAACCCTAAACCCTAAACCCTAAACCCTAAACCCTCAACCCTAAACGGCCAAGGCACAGCTGCCTTGATTTGGGCCAGGTCTCCATCGCTGATGGCCTCTTACATCTTAGGGCAGGGTTCAGGGATTATGCGGTACCAGTAGGGTTTTGGGGTTTGGGTTTAGGGTTTAGGGTTTAGGGTTTAGGGTTTGGGGTTTAGGGTTTAGGGTTTAGGGTTTAGGGTTTAGAGTCTAGGACTTAGGGCTTAGGATCTAGGGTTTCTGAAGAAAACGTCGCCGCAGGGGCCCAGGCGGAGAGGTATATATATATATATATATATATATATATATATAAAGGCTCCCAACGGATCGGACCGCGACAACGGGATGCCTGTGCGAGGGCCTCTCACGAACGTGCCGGGTGCCTCCACGAGGTGCTTCAGTCGCTGCTTCCTCGGCCTTCTCGGTGAAGAGCTGCTTCCGCAGCTGGTCGATCTTCGAGTGTCTTGCCGACGTCGCGGAGGCACAGAACTCCAACTCCAGCCCATCCGACCTGGTCACTCCGCGTATGCACTTCTTTCCGGAGCCGTTGCACGATGCCTGGGTTTAGGACGACCCAGCACCGTGATTGGCCACTCTTGTTCAGGGTTTAGGGTTTAGGGTTTAGGGTGCCCAAGCCACCCGGTGGCTAAAGTATAAGCTGCTTGGGAGGCCCTCTCGCCTTTCATCGGCTGCTAGTAAAGAGATCTCGGGAATTGCGGGCCCTATACAAACCCCATAAAGGCCTATGCAGGGTTTAGGGTTTAGGGTTTAGGGTTTAGGGTTTAGGGTTTAGGGTTTGGGGTTCAGGGTTTAGGGTTGAAGGTGGTCAAGCGAAGCCTCCAAACCACTTCATGGTGCTAGGGTTTGGTGCTTAGGGTTTTGAGGGTTTAGAATCTGGGCTTGGGACTTAGGCATTGGGCTTAGGGATTAGGGCTTAGGGTTTAGGGTGTAGGGTTTAGGGTGTAGGGTTTAGGGTTTAGGTTTAGGGATTAGGGTTTACGGTTTGGGGATTAAGGGCTTAGGGTTTAGGGCGTAAGGGCTTCGGGGGTCGCCGAAAACCCTAGACCCGCACCCTCGAACCTGTCAGCCAGGATTGTTTCCGACTTACCCTAAACCCTAAACCCTAAACCCTAAACCCTAAACCCTAAACCCTAAACCCTAAACCCTTGAGGTCGAGTTCCCAGTTGGATTTTTGCAAATCCCCGCCCGCGAAAACACCCGAGACAGACTCATACGAGGGCTCCCGGAAGCCTGCAACCCAGACTCACCCACTTAGGGTTTAGGGTTTGGGGTTTGGGGTTTAGGGTTTTGGGTTGAGGGTTAGGGTTTAGGGTTTAGGGTTTAGGGTTTAGGGCTTAGGGTTTAGGGTTTAGGGTTTAGGGTTTGGGGTTTGGGGTTTAGGGTTTAGGGTTTGGGGTTTGGGGTTTAGGGTTTAGGGTTTAGGGTTAAACCGTCTTTCCTTATAGACTCCCAAGCCCTACTCAGCCCTCCCATTTTTCTTTCTTTCACCACGAACCGTCCGCCTGCTGGAGTGTGTCATAAGCTTCCTTCTGGTTCGCATTCCTGGGCTCTTTGGATTGTTCCCTAAACCCTGGACCCTAAACCGTAAAGTCTAAGGGTTAGCAATTTTCAGTGAGGTATTAAGGCTTCTATAACTATGTGGGCTCATGGCTTTAAAGCTTTAAAGTCTAAGATCTTAAGCTTTCGGCTTTGTCATGGCGGACTTGAAACCCTAAACCCTAAGCCCTAAGCCCTAAACCCTAAGCCCTAAACCCTAAACCCTAAACCCTAAACCCTAAACTCTAAACCCTAAACCCTAAACCCTAACAGGTCGAGGGATTTCCTCTTTGGAGCCCGTCAGGGCTGCACCTTTAGGCTGAGGGACAAGGGAACGTAGTGATACGAGTAGTAGGAGCCCATGTACACCCAAACCCCTAAAACCCTAAATCTTAAACCCTAAACCCTAAACCCCTAAACCCCTAAACCCTAAACCCCTAACCCTTAAACCCTAAACCCTAAACCCTAAACCCTAAACCCTAAACCCTAAACCCTGAAGGAGGCCAGGAGGCCCTGCGGGGTTGCTCGGGAGCTTTCGTTGTCTGGGGCCCTCAGCCCCTGAAGCTTTGCAAGCCCTGCAGGGCCTTGTCAACAGGGTTTAGGGTTTAGGGTTTAGGGTTTAGGGTTTAGGGTTTAGGGTTTAGGGTTTAGGGTTTAGGGTTTAGGGTTTAGGGTTTAGGGTTTTGCCGTGATCTCTCAAAGCCTAGAAACTTCGGAAATGTTCTCACAACCCTGGGGACCTACACCCTAACGACCTCAAATCCGCAAGCCCAAGCAAAACCCTCCAAACCCTCTTAGGGTAGTTGCATGGCCCCTTGGTATGGGCCCTGCACAAATTAAGGGCCCTTGCATCAGAACCCTTTTGAAGGAGGCTAGGGGCTATATTTAGGGCAATTTAAAGGGCCCATGAAACTACCCTCAGAAACCCTGAACTTTCGGGGCCCTGCGGTTCAGGGCCTGGGTTATCACAGATTGGGGGCTTCATAGCCTGGGATTGACAAGCTAGGGCAACACATGGCTTAGGGTTTTCAGGGTTTTCAGGGTTGTGAGTTTAGGGTTTCGGGTAGCTTGAGGCCTTGGGATTTTGGGGCTTTCGATGCAAAAGCCTAAACCCTAAACCCTACACTCCTAAACCCTAAACCCTAAACCGACCCAGAAGTGCACATCAGTACTCCGAGCTCGCCTCCCGTTAGTCCCTTCGGTACGCTCATTTCATTCACTTGGCATCTACATGTACTCATGTAGGTACAAGGCACCCATAAATATGGGAGAAATCATGTTCTGCCTCCAAGAAGGCTATGAAGGGCTTAGAGTGCTAGCATTTATTGCCCCAACTAAGCCTCAAAGCCCTCTATGAACACAAGCAGCCTTAAGACCCCCACACACACACACACACCCTAACAAACCTAAGCCCCCCCAAAACGCCTGTAATGAACCCTTACATCCACCGCTTTCAAAAGACTCGAGCAAAACCTGTAAACTCTGAAAGAACCTTCAACAACCCCATTAGCAACCCTGAACAAAAACCTCAACAGCACAAGCGAACAACACCTTCAAACAGCAACTTCAAAGAACCTGAAAGCCCTTAACTAAGCTCCCGGCAGCAAGCCCTTCAACAAAACCCTTACTGTGAAGGCCAAGGTTCATGCAGTACGGGGGTAGCTCCACACCTGCAACAGGCACGAGGGCGACTCTGCGCATGGGACTTGGTTTTAGGGCTTCGAGTCATGGAGTTTCGGCTTAGAGGCTTTAGGGTTCAGGGTCGAGTTTCGGGTCTAGGTCTTGGGGTTAGACTTAAGGTGTTGGGTTTTGGGGTCCTAGGACGGGCTTGAGTGAGGTGTTGATGTTCGGCACATTTAGAGGCACCAATCTAAGGCTCTTGGACACACAGGCGCTGGCCGTGCGGACTACTTTCCAGTTGCGGGAAGATTCGCAGGCGTTGGCAAACTGTGGACATGGCCAATGGGCAACTGACAACCCGCAGCCCGAAAATGACGAAGGGACCGAAATGAACGAAACCCTGAACCCCCAAGACTCTAAACCCCTAAACTTGGGACAATCCCCCTTATACCAACTGTCCTTGATAGGACTACAATCGGGGGGAACTTTCATCCCGATTAAGGACTGTTAGTAAAAGGGGGAACATCTCAACCCTAAACCCTCAAACCCTGTGAAACCCTAAACCCCTGATCCCTAAAACCGCAAAGCCCCCCAAGCCCTGAGCTCCCCAAACGCTCAATGCTGGCAGCAGCCTTCACATTGGCTATTCCGTGTGGTGCGGCATTACTATATCATGATCAGCAAATGCACCCTAAACCCTCAAACCCTCAAACCCTCAAACCCTCAAACCCTCAAACCCTCAAACCCTCAAACCCTCAAACCCTCAAACCCTCAAACCCTCAGACCCTCAAACCCTCAAACCCTCAAACCCTCAAACCCTCAAACCCTCAAACCCTCAAACCCTCAGACCCTCAGACCCTCAAACCCTCAAACCCTCAAACCCTCAAACCCTCAAACCCTCAAACCCTCAAACCCTCAAACCCTCAAACCCTCAGACCCTCAAACCCTCAAACCCTCAAACCCTCAAACCCTCAGACCCTCAAACCCTCAAACCCTCAAACCCTCAAACCCTCAAACCCTCAAACCCTCAGACCCTCAAACCCTCAGACCCTCAAACCCTCAAACCCTCAAACCCTCAAACCCTCAAACCCTCAAACCCTCAAACCCTCAAACCCTCAGACCCTCAAACCCTCAAACCCTCAAACCCTCAAACCCTCAAACCCTCAAACCCTCAAACCCTCACACCCTCAAACCTAAACCCTTAACCCCGAAATCCCAAGCATCATGTTTCGGGGCTTAATGGTTTGGGACCTGGGATTTAAGATGTTGGGTTAGGGTTTAGGGGCGGTTTAGGGTTTAGGGTTTAGGGTTAAGGGTTTAGGGTTCAGGGTTTGTGGCTGAGAGTTGGGGGCTTGGGGTTTCGGGTAACAAGCAAGTCTAAACCGTCAGCGCCTGTGTGCTCGCAGTAGGCCACAAGCCATTCCGTGAGCATGGCCTCAAGCAGTGCGCCGCGATGGGGTGTTGGGGTTTAGGCTTTTGGGGGGTTTAGGGTTTAACTCTAAGTAGGGCCCCCAAACCCCAAACATCCTGAATATACAGGGCGGCCGTATTTTGACCAGGACAAGTCATTTAGGGTGAAGCGTAGGTTTAAGGGTTTAGGCGTAGGGCGTAGGGCGTAGGGCTTAGGGCTTAGGGCTTAGGGCTGCGGGATTTGGGGTTTAGGGGTTGAGAGGTGTTGGCTTAGAGCTGAGGGTTTAGGATTCAGGGTTCAAAAGGTTCCAAAGGCTTGTAAGGCTCCTGAAAGCTTCAGATGGGATCAGGATTCTAAGTGCTGTTACATGGTCCCTGAATGGGTTTAGGGTTACATGGTCCCTGAATATGGTCCCCTGCCTTCCTTGCAAGGCTCTGAAGTATGGGCCCTCGAACTTTACAGCGCACGTAAGGGCTTCATGGGGGTTCCCTGTAACTACCCCTAAGAAGGATTTAGGGCTTTAGGGGATACAGCTTGTAAAGCTGAAGTTTCAGGAAAAAACACGGGCTTCGGTTTTAGTGCTTCGGCTTTCCCACGCAAGGTTTCGGATTTAGGCTTTGAAGGTGCATGGCTGCAGTCATGATACTGGGGGCCAGGCGTTAGATGTACTTACAGTTCTACAGACAACAACTCATGAACCTGCAAGCACCCTAAACCCTAAAACCTAGAACTCTAAACTCTAGACATCAAAGCCTAAACCCTAAACCCTAAATCCTAAACCCCAAACCCTAAACCCTGAACCCCTAAACCCCTAAACCCTCGAAACCCTAACCCCTAAACCCCTGCGTTCAACTGCGAAGGCCGCAGAACTCAGCGTGCCACGCGCTCCTTCTCATAGCTGGCCTCGGCGGGCTAAACCCGGAACCCTAAACCCTAAACCCTAAACCCTAAACCCTAAACCCTAAACCCTAAACCCTAAACCCTAAACCCTAAACCCTAAACCCTGCCCCACCTCCGACACACTAAGCCCTCGACCCCAAACACCCCTAACTCCTACCTAAACCCTCTAAACCCTAAACATCCAAAAACCCAACCTACTCCCAAAAGCTCTGCATCCTCCACGGGGTCGGAGTTTCCCGACTCCACCACCGAAACTTAGCTGCTGAGTTCATGAGCCCCAAAAAAGTGCACGCTTTCGGTTCTACAGGGGTAAATTCCAAAAAGTGTAAAGTATACTCATCCAGCTACTAAGTAACCCCAAACCCTAAACCCTAAACCCTAAACCCTAAACCCTAAACCCTAAACCCTAAACCCTAAACCCTAAACCCTAAACCCTTGAGCTCCGGGCAGACAGGGCGTCGAAGAGCACAGTGTTGAACTCTGCCCTCAGTCGCAGAGCGTTCGCTCTTTTGCGGCTTTTAGGGTTTAGGGAATTCAGGGTTCTTAGGGGTTTCGGGCTGCGGGGGGGTAGCATTTTAGGGGCTTAGGCCCTTGGGGCTTTTATGGTTTCGAGGTTTAGGGCTGTGTAGGGGCTCCCCCCCCCCCCCCCCCCGCCGCCACCAAAAGGGAGCCCATTCTCAAGCACAAGTTCAGAATAAGAAGAGATTTTAGGGTTTAGGGTTTAGGGTTTAGGGTTCTATATGTAGTTTGCTAATAAGGCACTCCGGTCGTAAAGTTGACGATGAACAGATAAGGCTCTCAGAATTATGGTCCTGGCAGCTGTTCAAAACACCGGTCCCCCCAAAAACCCTAAGGTAGGTTCCGGCGCCAAGAACAAACCTTAAGGTAGGTTCCCCTGTGGTCACTATTCAACGTTTAAGGGGGCAAACCCTCAACCCTAAACCCTACACCCTACACCTTCCACCCTAAACCCTAAACCCTGAACTCCAAACCCTAAACCCTAAACCCTCTACACTCTAAACAACAAACCCCACGCCATATAGGGGGAAGCTTCCACTACATGGTAGGCCCGAGCCCGAGACAAGAGATCAAGGGACAAAAGGAGGGACCCTTATGAGGGACCTTAGGGGGTACTCAGGGGTTATTTGGGCGCTACCTAGGTATATAGGGACTATGTAAGGTGTGTATGGGGTTATATAGGGGATCATAAGATCGAGGGTCCCTTCTAGGGGTCCTTTGCACCTTCACAGGAGGAAGCAGGGCCGGAGCCCTAAACCCAACAAAACCGAAAACGCTAAAATCCTAAATCCCTAAACCCCCTGCACCCCAAAACCCTAAAACCCTGACTCCCTGAAACCCTAAACCCCTAAAACCCCTAAAACCCCTGCAGCCCAAAACCCTAAAACCCTGACTTCCTGAAACCCTAAACCCCTATATAAACCTTAACACGCTAGAACCCTAAATCCTGCCCTAAACCCCTAAACCCCCAAACCCTACACCCCAAAACCCTACACCCTAAAACCCCTAGACCCTAAACCCCTACACCCCAAAACTCTACACACCCCCCCAAAAACCGTAAAACCTTAAACCTGATAACCTGACTGGCATCCATGGGGCCCACTGTTCCCAAAAAACCCTCACACTACGAGTTGCTTAAGAACCACCCACAAAATATGCAATGTAAGAAAAAAATATATATGTACATATATTTTACTTATATATACACACATATGCCTACATTTGCTTAAGAACCCCCCTCAAAATAAAAGAACAGAATGATGCTTATATTGCCCTTCCTAGCAAAAGTATGTTTGGTATTTGTCGGGGTGGTTCTTGAGCAAATAGTGGTAAACACCCGTTTCAACGCTACAAAAAGCCCTAGAAATCTACTGGTAGTTACATGGCCCCTTCATGTGGTCCCTTACCTTCTTTAAAGGGATCTGACGTATGGGCCCTTGCGCTTTACAGGGGGTTATATAATGTCCAATGTTTGGGGGCTGTAGGGGCTTCAGAGTTTAAGGCTGAGGATTTCAATTTTTATCGGGGTGTCGGGTACCCGCGGTCCAAACCCCGAAACCTTAAATTCAAAACCCTAAACCCAGGGCCCCCGGCCCCAGAAACTTCTGAAAAAGGCCAACCCGGTTCACGTGCGCGGCGGTGATCGTCCCAGACCTAGTGAGAAAGTGTTCAGGGCTTCTAAACCCTAAACCCTAAACCCTACACCCCAAACTCTAA